AGCATAAGCAGCAAGACAGCATGAGATCCTCATCCCCTCTAAGGAAAGAGACACAATAGAAGGGTTAATAACAGCTCATCCTCATCCTGCCTGTATTGTCTGCATTTGTGCCTAGACACAAATGTCCTGCGTTATGAAGGACTCAGTCCAGCTGTAGCCTGAAACTTTGAATGTTTTAGTTTAGGGAAGTAACACTGTGGTATCCTGGCCACTCCAGGCAGCAGTAAGAACGGCATCAGTTGTCTCCACATGGCTGATGGTGAGGGTGAAATCTGTCACAGAATGACTGCTGCTGAACCGTCCTGGGACTCCTGAAGCCTGGGTGGATGTTTCATGTACCAGGATCTTAGGAAACTGGCCTGGTATATGTTAACACCAAGAAAAGTTGGTTTTCTCACTGGGATTAGATTTGCAGGTGATTGTGGTTCTGTCCCTAGAATGTAAAGCCAAGATAGCTGGAGACTGCATTAGGGCATCACCCATTTTCAAGTCTACAATTTCAAAGGCACATAAAAGTCAACAGAAATAGATCTATTTAATCCCTATGAATGTGTACATATTTCAATTTTAAAAGGAAGTGCTTCTAGGTAAAGAATCAGTTTTCTCCCACTACATACTTAGTATAACATGAGACCTTCCTACCCTGTGGCAGTTTCAGTAAGAAGGAACATCATTTCTCCCTTATTTTTCTCAACCAGGGTAAAGAAAAACAGAAATGCACTCTTCCCCATGCTGGTTACTCAGAACAAAGAGGATCATTGAAAGCCAGGATAGAAATGGGATATAAGGGATTGAAAAGGGTAGAAGGGAGCCAGGCTAGACAAATCAGTGACATGAGAACAGAGTAAGCAAGAGATATGTCTGAGTAGATGTGAAGATAAAAGATTTGACCAGTGATCTTGGAGCTTTTCTTTGTTTTGAAGAAATGAAAGAGAAAATAGAATAACACTGGGCTTGCAGCCTCTACTTGAACAGAAATATAGCCACACCTTTGCTTCTGGCAAGAGTTACATAGTACAGACTTGGAAGATATATAACTCAGAGTACCCCAACTTTACCATAGAAATGTCTATTCCATTTCTGCCACTGATTTTTCAGTTAAAATTCCCTTCAGTTTTACTTTATCCCTTGAAATGTATATGGTGAAAATTTTGCTTTCAAAACTATCTCTGATTTGGTGTTATCCCCTTTCTTAATCTGAACAAATGACCTAACATACTACATCAGAAATGGGAACTTCACACTCTTTCAATTGAACTCCAAATAAATTTGATTATTTTTAAACTCTGTAAGCTGACAAGCTGTACATGGTTCTCATGAGTAAGTGAAAATTCATGCTGGCCCTTCTAAACTCTAGACATGGTTCACTGAGCACGGCAAGTTACTGGAGGACTATGGTGTGTGGTGCCTCAATTAGAAACTATTCCTCAAGTTTCTAGCACATCAAAAATCCCTGGATTTAGGTAAGGAAATTCTAGTTGGGTAGCTCACAAGGATTGCAGGGTCAATAAATATTCAGCTTGG